AGCAGAGAACACGGGGCTCTTTGCTTTTCCAAGAGGTGATTTGATCTTAGAGTAGTGCCAAGCTTGCATGTTTGTGGAGGAGGCTGAGTAATAAAGAGGAGTCTCCAAGGAGCAGATCCAGGTCACCTTGTGTTCCTTTCCCCCTTTGGAAGCTGGCCAAGGCCTTTGAAATCTCAGTAACCCAGAGAAGACAGAAGCAGTTTGGTTTCTAGGATCCTAGATTATGTTTACCTTGTATGCTAAAGGAAATAGGCTACGTGTACATGTGAAGTATGAATTAAACATGGTCAAGGCTTAGAAAACCATGTATAGGATGATTATGTTTGTCTGTCTTTCTATCTACATGTCAGACCTCAGTAGAAACAGGGCAGCTCTCAGCAGAGATGAGATGGGAGAGAAGCTTGTTATATCATCCTGCTTCAGCTTCATCTTAGAGGTCCTCTTGAGAAAATTCAGCAGCTACCCCTTAGCAAGGAAGATTTGGTGGACCCTAAATTATTCTCAGTGCCCAAGAACAGTTTTCAGATATTCCTTTATACTTAGCATCAACACATCAAGTGAGTACCAAAATTATACAAATTTTACATGTCTTTTGGATGGAAGAACAGTGAAAAGAAAATGTTTTAAGACAAAGCAAAGTGTGTATTATCATCAAGCGAGTCTGTTTAATATGAAAAGAATGTGAATTGATTTGTGACTGTGAAATAGGGCCAATCCTTCAGAATTAAGAAATAATCACCTATAAAAGAACCTATATCAAATGCTTGCTCCTTTTAAGCAAGGTGTCAAGAATAGTCTCTTGATTTAAGTTCAGGTTTCTGTTTTACTTTGTATCCCTCCCAGTATAATTTCCTCACTGTTGAACTTATCCACTTAGAGGAAACTGGACACAGTGGGGAGGTGGGAGAGTCCCCTCTTAGGCATCTTGTTCTATCCAGCAGTAACTTAAATTTCGGAGGTTAATTGTTCTGGTTATATAGATCCTCAAATAGCATCGCATTTCAGAAGTGAGCATAGATTACCAGTGTTCAGGGAAATCTTGTAGCCCCAGTGGAAGAGTTGTAGAATTCCGGATTAAACAATAGCTGATAGCCAGTGATATCTCTCCTGAAGCACCTGAACAGCATTGGGCCATATCTGCCAGACCCTCCCCCGAGCTCCAGGGCCAGTGCCTCCACCCCATGCTGAAGAACACCCAGGACCAGACTCTGAGACTTCAGATACAACATGTGAATCATGTCCAGAAGGATGGTTGGGTTCCTAATGGAAAGAGTCTTGAAGCTTTAAAAGCTTTAGACTAAGATGAGCTGTTCTTGTGAGCTCATGGTGGATTCCCAGCAACCATTCACGTCCAGCAATCTATTGATTGTTAACAATTAGCTATCCTCACTCATTGAGGAGCTGTGGGGTGCTCTTTAGGTTCATTTTAGGATCATGGGATTTTGACTCTAAATGAACCTAAGTATGAAGCCATCAGAATCCCTAACTTAGGGTGCTTACCCACACCACAAGAAATAGAGGTGTCTCCTCTCCACACTCTGCTTCCTGCCTTTCAGCAAAAAGGGAGATGCTGAGAAAGCAGACCGCTTTAAGACCCTCACAAGAGGAGTTTGGACAAACAGTGATCCCAAACCAGTATCAGAGCAGCGAACAGTTCCCCGAGAGCATGAAGCAGGCACCTATCTGACTCAGGCTTTTGCCCTTTCTGTTGGACAAAAACAACAGGCAGAGACTGAACTGAAGGTTGAGTAAGAGTTTGTTAGTGTGGATGAGAAATGTTTCAAACAGACAAGAAGTGAAAAGGCTCAGAAGGGAATTGAAAAGGCTTGCTGTTGCCAGAAGGGTCCCTGCGCCTTCTCCTCACCCTGATGCTTTCTGTTTCCGCAGCTCCTCGCCCTTCTTCTGTGGGTTCTATGATGCCACCACGGGAAATCACCTGCCCCTCTCCACCCACAGCCTGTCCTTGCAGACTTCCGTACTTTTAAAGAATGTTCTCACACTCGTTTTCCTCACAAGTCTCCACCTGTCCTCCAAGACCCAGATTAAAGACATTTCCATGCACCAAGCCTGCCCAGGCACAGATAATTATTCCTTTTGTTTTGTTCCAAAACATAGATCTCAGCCGCGGAACACGTCATCAAATGTGACATTTTAATTCATCTGTGTCCCCTGCTCCAGTGAGTTCTCAGAGGGAAAGCACCATATCTTATTCATGCATGTGCTTCGGGCAATTTAACAAGAAATCTCCAGCATAATTTATTCTCTGCTGCAGTTATGCCAAATACTATCTCAGATTAGCAAAAATAGGGTTCAAGATCAGCATATGAAAATATAATTTCAATGATTGTCTATTATATATGAACAGATCAACAATTAGATCCCTGTCTTTTGACTCTTTGTACAGTATCTTTTGTAAAATCCTAAAACAACCTCTTCTTCAGAAAATAGAAGATATTATTCATAACTTTTCCACATAGATGAGATGAATGTTAATATTTGCACATTTGTCTTAGTGTTTTTAGATATAGTATGTTTGTGACTGTATTCATATAAACTACTTACTGTGCCTGCCTGGCAAGCACTAGGTTGTGAGTTGGATCCCTGGTACCAAAAAACAAAACAACAACAACAAAAATTATATAAACTACTTACTATTGGAACTTGAAGTATTTTTCTCTAACAGACTGCAGCAGTGATCCTCCTGATACAAGATCATTGTGTACATTTCTTTCTTTATAAACTAGAAACAGATTGTTGTCATAGGAAATGCCTTTCTTTAAGCTCTAGGTTTTGCCCAATTGCTCTCCAAAGTGGTTACATCAATTTCCACATATTTACCAGCAATGTGTGAGCATTGTTCCTATTTGACCCATGGTCTCACCAACACTTAATATTACTATGCATTTGAATCCTTGACAATCTCAATGGTATGAAATGCTATTTAACAACTTTAAATAGACATTTCAATATTTGCTATGAGTTAATCTTTTTCATAGATTGATGTGCCATCATTTGAGAGATTACTAGTTCTGATCCTTTGTCTACTTTACCTCCCTTTTAATATTTGCTTATACCAAGTTTTTCAAGAGTATGAAAATTTATTGGCAAAAGGAATGGGGAACTGAAATGGAGATTAGTAATGTCTCCTGAGAGACAGAAGGGGTCCAGAATATTTTGTCCTTGTACCAAATACTGACAAATACACCACACTAATCTTTTGCTTTTTCTATTTATTTTGAACATCTTTTTCATTGTTTTCTTGCTTTTAACATGTTTCTGGCGTCTCGCTTTTCAGAAATTTAGACACGTTCATTCCAGTGTCAACATAATGCTTTTACTAAGAAACAGTTGTACTCTCCATATCGCTTTAGGAAACTCTGCAGTGATCTGAAACCATAAAATTCTTTTATAATTCACCCAACAGATTTAAAGTTTCACTTTTCTCATTCGGTTTTTAACACATCTGGAGTTCCATCTGTGACAATAGCGTTTGAAGTTTTTTCTTCAGTTGTGAACCCAGCTGCTACCATATCCTGTACTGAAAAATTTACTCTCCCTTCCCAGTCTGAGTCACCTCTTTCCCTGTACAGCCAGATCGCACATTGGTTCAGATCTGGGCTTCCTGCCCTGCTATTCACTGTACTGTTACTAAATGTGTCCACGATGTAGGGGTGTTATATCTGGTAGGGTAAGCTTTCTTGCCATGTTTTTTCACATGTTCCTTCAGAGTTGTTTTCCCTAGTTTTAGACTTTAATTTTCATTTTATTTTTAAAATTAGTGTTTTAAGTTTCACAAAATTTTCTTTTAAATTTTTTTTCTAGAGTTAAAATGTTAGATTAATTTAGAGAAAATGAGACATTCTTCTGATATGGAGTCTTTCGTTGTATGACCGTAATATAATGTGTTGCTTTTTTCCAAGTAGGATAAATTTATCCCTTCTGGATATGAAAAGAGAAAAATAAACTCTCAAAGGGAAGGAATATATTCAGCCAAATGAGAATTCTTATAAATGTTGTATCTACAAATCAGAGTACTTTGCATGGATTCTTCTTTTGTGTATAATAGTTTGAAACAAGAAAAATAGCAACAAATAACTCTTTAGTCTAGAGGTTAAAGTTGCAAATGAATTCATTAAAAAACAGAAACCAGTAGAATGTGTTTATAGGACAAAATGTCAGATTAGAAGAAGCAAACTCAAATTCAACACGTATTAGAATGGTAGACAGAAATTCTGGGCTCAACTGAAATAGATTCATAAGTCAAAGAGAAGAGACATCAGAGCTAGAAGAAAGTGAGTTTGAATAGCAAAAGTAAATGTGGGTTCAATGCAAAAGACTGAGTGCAAGCACTATGGAAAATACTTAAAGCTGAATTAAAGCAGAAGGAAATGGTATCTTGAAACAGCAGTCAGACTTTTTTAGTCAATAAAAAACTTCCTTCAAATCTAAAATCCTACAGTTCTATATATCCTAATGAGAGTTTTCCTCTTTCCAAGAAGAGAATTCTTTTTTACTACAATGAAAAGATGAACAGGCTTTTTATCTTCATTAATACCACTAATTAAATTAGATTCCTTAAATTTCCCTCCTAAAAGGAGTTCAATTAATTATTCTTCTTTTGAACTCCTGCTGGGTTAGTTTTACTAACATTTTATTGAAAGATTTGACACATATCTCAGATGAAATTGCAAGGGGGGTATTTATCTTTGTTTTATCTGTTTATGCTAATTTCTTTTCAAAGAATTGGAATGGTTTTTCTTCCCTTTTCATGGCGGTAAATAGCACAAAAACGACTGTTTCATAAAGATGTGAAACTAACCTATGAGTCTATTTGAGCCCGATGTTTTTCTGGTTTTGTTTTCCAGTATGTAAGTGTATAGAAGAGGGGGGGGGGACAGGAGGATAGCATCAGAGATACCTTTAATAAAGGTGCTTCACAAAGTGAAGGCAAATGAACTCCTGAGTTAAGCAACAACTGCTTCTTTTTTTTTTTTTTTAAGGTCTGGAAGTGTGCTGCACCACTGGAATGAGATCTATTACTTTGTGGAACAGCTGGCTCATAAATTCATCAGGTAAGAAATGCTCCTCTCAAGGTCTCTGCCATGGGAATGACCAGCATATGTTTGAGGTTCTACTAACTCCTAACCACTTTGAGGATGCTTTTCCGTAAAGATGGACTCTTAAGTTCTGGACCAGGTGCTGTTTACTTTGTTTTGATCTGTACCACATATTAAAACAACTTTGGCTTACTATTTTCAGGAAGTACCCAATTTAATTATAAGATGAATAATGTATTCTAGTAAAAAGATCATGAACACTTTTTCCTGCATCAAAGAGGGACAACTGGCACCTTCTACTGGACTTATGTATAGGATTTATGCCAACCAAACTCATCTCATTTTGCCCTCAACCTTCTTAGTTTTAGTAATGAAAAGCTCATGTTTTGGGAACACTCTTTAGTCCTGAAGAAGTAATGATGATTGATATTAGGTATCATATCAGATAGTGTCCTCTGAATACGTTTAATTCCCCTTTTTCATGCAGATTTGAACATAGTCTCTAAATATTGCAGAAATCCTGAGGATACCACTCTCCAGTAAGTAAGGACATATGCTAGTAAAGAACAGGAGGTCACATCCTCCTCCCAGAGTGCAGCCTCCAACGGATAACACAACTCTCATGAATGCACTTGAATCAAGTTGTCAAGGTCTTTCAAAAAAATTGGCCTAAGCATTGCAAATATTAGCATAGTCCCACTTTATACTAGATGGCATCTATAGAGTCTCTCAGTTGATATGGGAGGCTGTCGAGCTCTTTGAGTGAGATTCTTCATCTCAGAAAATAGGTTATCTTTTGAAACCAGGGTAATGACAGATATCTTCATCCTAAATTCATTCATTGATCAATATGCACCTACTTGCCCAACTAGAAGAAAAAAGCATTAGGAGGTGGTATCTCTGCAATGCCAAAAATTGGAAGCAGCAGAATCACCTAAACCCAGATGATTGGGGAAACAGATGCCAAGAGGAGAGAAGGAAGAAGAAGGTGTAGGGGAAAGGAAGAAACAAGAATAGGGGTGGTGGGGGGCTGGGGATTTAGCTCAGCTGCATAAGCACCTGCCTTGCAAGCAGGCAGTCGTGAGTTCGATCCCCGATACCGATAAAAAAGAAAAAGAAAAAGACAAAAAAAAAAAAAATATGGGCACTGGTAAAACATGCTTAAGGGAATCACTAACACTTAGAATTGAAAGGAACAGCTTTCCAGTCTATCCTAGGAGGCATCGATAGCCCTCATGTTGAACAACTTTGATGAGAAATTGCTGGCTTTTCAACAAACAATCCAATAAGCTGTTCAACTTCAGTTTCAGCAAAGTCTTATTGTCATTGAGCCAAAATGTCTCTTCCTGTACTTCTCTGTTGCTCCTTTGGAGTGACATAAAACACATTTGTCTCTAGACACTTGATAGTATTTGCTCTATCTCCATTTGCTAGTCTTCTCTTCTGGTCCCTCAGAAGATGGAAGGCCATTGGGAAAGGCTTTGAAGTCAAACAAATAATGGTTTGAATTCAAGCTCCATTGTGCAACCATAGTGTTTTACTTACCTTCAATGATCCTTGGTTTTCCTGTGAGGATTACAAAATCACAAAGCAAACCAGCTAACCTAGTATCTGGCTCTGGGTGGGTACACAACATTGCCTTTCCAGGTCCTCAGCAAATGCCAGACTCTTCAGATCTTAGAATCAAAGAAAGACAGGGCAGGGAATTGGAGGTACAAAGATAACAGTTAATCCAACGTCCTTGATGAAGAAACTGAGGAACAGTTTAATTGGGACCACCAGGTTCCTCTGGTTGTCTCCCCTGAACCTTGACACATGACTCCACAATATTACTATCATGCACAGCCCATGTTACAGGCACTGAATTTGGTTGACAGCTGCAGCCCATGTGCCCATAATAGTGCCAGACATACAGTTCATGCTTGGTCAATGTTTTTGAATAATGATTTTTATTTATTCATTTTAATAATCTGAAGCAATTTGGTACTGTATGAGGAAATACATTTAATAAAAATAATCAATGACATTACAAATGGATCATTGCTTGTGTCAGTGGGATTCTAAGCCTTTCAAGTCATTTTATTTGTCTTTATTCTGACTACCTCTCATCTTCCGGACAGTGATTCTAATTCTCCATAACTTTCCTCAATTCCCCAATCCACATCCATATCTCACACCCATCACTGTAACTGTTATCTCAGGCTCCAGTCCTGCCCCTCAATGTTGCATGCACATCCTTCTCCTGGAAGCCAAGTATTTCCTGTTTTTAAGCCAACCTCTCCATTTTAGTCACCTTTTGGCCGTTATGTATTTTTCTCCAGGTCTTTGTTTCACTCTTCTGTTTCTCTCTACCTCTTTCCTTACTCTTTTGCTGTAGACTATACACACAAATTAATTTTTCTTGCCCTTTGTCAAAGAACAAAAACAAACCAATGGGAAAAAAACAAGAAAAACCAACAATCAGAATAAAAAAGTGATGCAGATCTCTTGATCATATCTTTCTAGATACAATCAAGTTTCTTTACTGGTTTATCACTCAGATATCCTTAAAGACTTGTGGTCTCCATATCCTTACTTCCCATCTGGCCTCTGTCCTTGTCTACCATCTGCTTCCTTTCACTAAGGTCACCAATGGGAGCCTCAAAGACAAATCCAGTGAGTAATGAGCACTTTGCATTCCTTAGGCTGTTGAACAGAGATCCTGACATCCCTCCTTGAAGATCCTCTTTTCACCTCCTGACCCTGACCAGCCCCCTTTAATGTTAGTGCTAGGTCTGCCTTTGGCTCACTTTCTGTTCTCATTTCTCAGAACAACTTTGTTCACATCAGTATGCTGGTAACTCACAAAATTAAGTCTCCGTCTTAGACTTATATCCCCATCGAGTCCTGGCTACCTATATTTCCTATGTTTCAACTCTATTCTTTCCAGAGCTGAAGTCAGTAATAAAGAAGGCAATGTAATATAGAATTAAGAACCCAAGCTCTAGAATTAGAACTTCTGCCACTGTGTAATCTTGGGAAAATTGCCTCATCTTTCAGGGCCTCAATTTTCCTTTATGGAAAATGGAATAATAATAATAATACCAATATCATAAATTTGCTTCAAATTTAATGAACTCATGCATTCAGATGACAATAGCATGTGACGCATAAGAACTTAATAAGGCTGGCCATTATTAGGTCACTACAGTCACTATGATTGTGTCCTCTCCACAGTGGTGCCCCAGCATAGGGTGAGGTAGTAATAGACAGCACAACATCAGGAAAGAGAACCAAAGTCTATTTCAGGAGAAAAATGTTCAATTCACCAGATACCATTTGGATTCCTACCAAGCACTAAATACCATGCTACAGTTTCCAAAGAAGTAGACTATATTCTGGAGACATTAGAGGCCATTAATGCTTTTATAGCAGATAACCCATAAGATATAATTTATATCTTAGGGAAATAATTCAGGAAATAGTATAAAGAATGAATTAGAGCAGGGAATGATGCTAGGCACTTATTTTTGTGAAACAATCAGATGATTGGAGGCCAAGATCCCAAGCTAAAATGTGGGAAAGTGGCTCAGGTTTGAGAAATGTCTTGGAACGAGGGAGCTCTTAGGTTTGGAGCCTGCTCAGGTATGGAATGCAGTGGCCTTGTAAACCCACAGTTAAGGGGATGAATCCATTGTTCATGCAGAGGGAGCAGCACAGGATAAACCCTCTGCAGGCTGGCTGTCCATCATGCAGGGTGAGATACATGTTGGGTCCTTGGCTGAGAGTTGTTCTGGCTCTCGGAGTGTGAATTTTACATTAACTATGCTCCTGAGTACTCCATATCAAAAAGTGCCAATTCACTCATTAAAAACACATAAAACCACAAAGTGAAAGAGATATTTCATGGCCAGTCAACTCTTCTCTCCTTATGGGATAACATCCTGAGACAGTCAAGGAGAAATTAAAAATTGATGGTGATCTCAACTTTGAGATCAAAAGAGATCACTGATATTAATGGCTGATGTCATCAAGCTGTCCTAGTGGAGACAGTTTCCTTATCAACACGCCAGAGCCTTTTGGACACAGCCAACTTTGTTTATCAGGATTATACACCTTGGAGACCAGCCCCCTTCCCAGAGCTTCAGGCAGTGATGGATTTTATCTTCCTTATTTCTAATTCATATTCGCTGATCAATAGTGTCCAATGAGACACAGCCTCCAAAATGACACAGCAGGTCTCCTCCTTGGGTTATGACTTCAGAGTCTGCTGCTGGATAACGCTGGAGTCTGCTGCTGAGGGCCTTTTGAGTTGTAGATTCTCAGCTCTGGTAATCATGTGATAAAGACAAGAACAGCTAGGTGGCCCAAAAAAGAATGACATGATGCAGCCTTTCTATCGACCCTAATAAAGTTTCTTTTCCTTTCCAGCCCGCAACTAAGAATGTCCTTCATTGTCTTCTCTACTAGAGGAACAACTTTAATGAAACTAACAGAAGACAGGTAAGGATACTCTGACACTCTCCATTCTTATCATTGGAAAGTCAGTCCCTTGCTGGGTGGCCCAGAGATTTGTGCCCTAATGCCTTGGCCTTACTCAATCATTTTAATCTTATAGCTTTTTTTGAACAAAATTCTTGAACTTTGCATCCGGGCCCTTCTGCTAGATTACTCTGTTGACCTTTGAGAGAATTTCCTAATGTTAGTGAAAATGTGTAAATAACTAAATCACATTAAGATAAATCTTATGTTTCATTGGTGACTCAGTCTGCTAACTTGAAGTAAAATATTAGCAAATCAAATTCATTGGAGGCTGCATTTCTTTCATTTGAGTTATTTTATTTGTGGGTTGTTTTCAGAGATATATTATGTATAGCATGACAAGAGTAAAAGTTTGAAATACAATCCACTGTAATAACCAAGGAAAAAAATAGAAATAGAGAGCTTGTGATAGCACAAAATAAAAGAAAATTTAAATTAATTATGGAAAAATGTCATTATTGTAAAAGAAATAGATAGACTTACTGTGAGGGGAAAATACTCTGGGCTTTTATCACATCTCTTTGCAGATGAAGACTAGCAATAACAGAGACTCCATCTAGTCATACTTAGGGGTACATTGGGAGAGGAGAGAACAATTTTCCTACATTGATGACACTGAACACATTTTTTAAAAGTGATATGGTCCACTGGGAGAAGCATTGTGGGGAACATTGTGGCATTACAGAGAGAATGTGGTGTGACAGGGAGAAATCGTATAGTGAGGAAAGAGGCCAGAGAGATTCAGGGGCCAGGCACACTCTATTATAACACAGGAGCCAACCTCAGTCCTAAAGAAATACTGTAATATCTTCCAAAGATGGTGCCTTCCATGATCTAATCCCGCCCCCTACTAGACCCCACTCCTTAACAGTACACAAAAAAGTCACATTTGAAAAGCAAATGTCTCTTACCCAGTTTTAACAGAAGAAACTAGGATGCCATCACATTCCTAAGAACACCAAGTAAAACCCAGCCTAGATTGAGGCTCCTCATCCTTTGAATTTCCCTTAGATTTCTGTTAAACAGAGAATCTCAAGATCCAAAAGTCTTGGTGACTTTCCTTTAACGTTGGCTAAGGATACTGAGGGGCTCCTAGGAAGTGTCTCCAGCCCTCTGCAGGACTCTTACCCTTGCTCAGTCTTTATATGATGCCATTCTTTATGTAGGGATGTCATTTACTCAGAGATGGTTGATCCTGCCAGGAGTATATGCTTGTCCAAGTGCTCAAGGCTGATATGATGAACCCTGAATGGCTTATTAAATCAGTTGTAATTCCTGTGGTTGCTCACTCTTCTTCTACTTGAATCTCTGATAATTCTGGGGCCAACGGGTGCTGTCCAGCCATGCAGGGGATATGTACATTTACCAAACTCAGAGCTCACCTGTCCTTCACATCCTGCTAACAATGTGGGACACCCTCTTGTACTTCATGTTGACTTTACTTGCTCCATATATAAGAATTCAGCCAGGAGATCGAGCTCTTGTGTCTCTTATCGATGATTTGTGTGTTACTGCTCACAGCTCTGGGAGGATAGTGAGGACAGAGGGGTCACGGATTTCTAACCACTATCAGAATACGTAGGCTTCTGATCCATTTGGGTTTGCTGAAATTAGTTACCCTGGGGATCTACTTGAATTTGGTGTTTTTAGCTCCCCATGCCCAAGCTATGACAGAGGTTAAAATCTCTAATTTGCAAGAAGTGTCATTTAATATAGGCCAAATGAACGTTGAACAACAGCCGCGAACACTGTATTAAAGACTGTGAGTTTCATCTGGTGACAGCTTGTCCTGACCCTAGATTGGTGGGCAGAGCACAGCGTGGCTCACAGACACATCCCCAACTATATGAGCATGTGGAGGTGTCAGGGCGTGAATGCCCTTAAGAACCTTCACAGGAGACTGGATAAAAGAAGCAAGCTTTTACGTTTCCAAGCTAGTATTGATTTCTGACTTACATGCTTACAGTGTCTTAATTGAATATATTTTTTCTATATCTCTTTTGCTTTTCGTAAATCCCTATAAGACAGTAAATGATTCATTATTATATCTGTGCAATATTTTGGGAAACTCACAGAGTTCTTAAAAAAAATTGTTCAAAAGACAGAAATTACCAAAGATTCATTTCAACAAAAGGAAAATATTTTTTATAAGTCAGAATAAATACATAATATCGAAGTTGTATTTGCACCCAATGATTGGGTTCAAATATACAAAGCAGCCAAGTGGGAAGCCTGAAGAAATAGAATGGAAAATATAGTGTGTTAAGATGTAATAAAGGAACTACAATTAAAAATAGTGATACCAATTATAAGATACTTTAAGGTATCATTTTCTATTTATTCACATAACCAATGTTACTCTGATCTCTGATTGTAACTATGTGATCATTTGAGTCACTGTTTTATATACAAGATATTGTTTTTCTCAACTGATTTTAAGGTTTCTTCATTTCAAGATTTCTTGGTTATGATGTAACCATGCATGGATTTAAGTTTACCTATTTTCAGCTTTGCTTAGGTTCTTGAATTCATAAGCTTGTGGTTTTTTGGGTTTTGTTTGTTTGTTGAGGATTTTTTATTTGTTTTGTTGGGATTTTTTTTGTTTGTTTTTCCTTTTGTTTTTTGTTTTTCCAGATTTGGGGAGTTTTCAGTCATTATTTTTCACTAGTTTTTTTTCTGCACTTTCTGGTACTCCAACAATTCCAATGGTAGGCCTTTAACCTTACTTTAACCTGTCCCTGAAGTTCTGTTTCTTCTTTTCCAATCTTTCTTTTTCCTTTCTTTCAATTTCTATTCATGTCTCTTGGAGCTCACTGACTCTTTCCTGTCCTGTTCTTTCAGCTACTGAGCCTGTCTATCTAATTTTTTATTACCAATATTTCATTTTTAAGTTCTGAAATTCCATTTGTTTCTCTTCTAAGGTTTTTATTTCTCTACTAAAATTTTCTATCTTTTCATTTATTTCAAGTATCTTTTCCTTGACCTCATGGGATATAGTTTAGACTACTTCAAAGTCAAACATCTCTAGATTGCATCTTAATTATGTTTTCCTTTGAGAATTGATCACATTCTCTATATACTATGTTAAGTAATTTTAGGGATAACCTGAAATTTTTGAACTTGATGGTGTTTAGATTAGGGACCATGTTCAAATCTTTGAGAAAATGTTGACTTCTTTTTTTTTCTTTTCATTTCTTTGTTTGCTGCAGTAAGCAATCACCCTGCTTGAATTTAGACCACAAGTTCTATCTCTTCTGTGGGTGGTGGTTTCAATGTTGGCTCAGTTTTCAAAAGCTTTGCTAACTCTTTTGGATCTGTCCAAAGTCCAAAGCTGCTCAAGAATGTGCTGAGACTTACACAGCTTCACAGACAGAAAGAAGGGGTCCTCCTCCAGCTCACTACTCTCCAGGATACCCCCACTATGTAGCCAGTGGGAGACCCCTTTCCAAGTCTTGTAGCAAGAAAGATGGGGTTTTCTGTTGGCATTTTGATCACCCACACTGCTGCCGCGCAGCTCTCCAGGGAGACCCCTGGAGGCCCAGCAGCAATTTTTAAAAAAATAGAGATGTACAAATGGAAACTTTCCTCACATTCTTTGAACCACAAGGACCTTTTCCCCCAGAGTTTCCCAGAAATACAGTAATTTTCTGAGCCTTCCATTTAGGTGATGTCTCCATCACTGACAAGTGACAAAGATTCTCTCTCAGGTTAAGGCCCTGAGAGAAAAAGAATGAAAAAATAAATGGAAGCTCACTCCTGTGTGGATCATTTCTTCAGATTTTGACTGTCCTCCCCCACGCCACCAGCTTTGTTTACTTTTAAAAGTCTTCTTGTGGTTGCTTTTTTATTTTAACCAAAGTTTTTTGCTGTAATCAGCTAGCGACATAGAATAGCAAGTATACTCTCTTGACTGTGTTGAGTTTTTCCAACAATGATGCTGAGGTTCAGAGAGTTTACATAACTTATTGAAGTCAAATAACTAGTAAACAGCAGATCTAGTTTGGTGATTTTTCTGCCTTCTCAAGTTGGTCCAGCTCATGAGCTCTGCACCGTATCGTGTTGCTTTTTTAAGATTTCTTAGCTGTATCACTTTATTTATTTATTTATTTATTTATTTGTCTTTTTCCTTTTTATCGGTACCGGGGATCGAACTCACGACTGCCTGCTTGCAAGGCAGGCGCTTATGCCACTGAGCAAATCCCCAGCCCCAGCTGTATCACTTTAAACAATCAATAAATCGTAACATTGTGTAGGTCATTTCATTAGCATGACAGAATATAATGTTAATTTGAGTACTATCAGAATAAGATAATTTAGTGTTAATGCCTACAAGCTGTGATTGGAAAAATATGTGTTTGATTTTTTTACAAATTTATTATATTAAAAGATATACTGCCATTATGTTCCCTCAAAATATTCCTCCTTGCTTCAAACATATACATTGCATCATTTTTTAGTTGCATTGTTATGATCGCCTTAGTGCCCTAAACTGACTCAAAGTGTTTACCTTTACTGTCCTTTTGACTTTGGGGAAGAACCAGAAGTCACACGGTGCCAGATCTAGTGAGTAAGGTAGAGGAGGGCACACTGTGATGTTTCTACCAGCTGCCTGTGCAGTGCGTGGTGCTTGGCAGCAGCGTTCACCATGTATTTTTTTAATCACATTTTTGAGAGCACTCACAAAGCAGGGCTTCCAGAAGTATATCAAGAACCACAGGAGTGTATCAAGAACCATAGGACAAGTGTGTTCAAAGCAAGAGGGAATATTTTGAGGGGATGAATCGCCATGTATTTTTTTACTGAAATAAATTTCATATGTCAACATTTTCAGTATCTTTTGATCACTTCCACTTCCCATGATTCCCTGCAAACTTAAGAGTAGTCTTAATCCTAACATTAACTGAAATATTTCCAGTGTTTCATCATTTGGAAATGAGATCATGTCAAGGAAGTCCAACTAT